GTTTGTCGCATTCACAGTTTACGTTTTCAAGCATGCACTGAATAATGCATTTTAGGTGCGTGCGTGAAAGTACACGGTGTGAAATGGTTCTCTGTCTAGGTTAAAATCCCCAAGGGTTCGCACAAACGTCTGAAGCTCCAGTTACCACCCTTAAGAACCGAGCCAGGCCACAATGCCGGATGACGAGATACCCGGTTCCCACCATGCTCCTCTGCAAAAAGGGATTTTGCCTGGAGGGAGAGCACAGGGGTGGGAAAAGTCTCCAGTGGCTGCGCATACGCCACAGGCTCCCCCTTCAAAGCAACTGGCACAACTGGGAAAGCACCTGTAAGAACATCCGAAGAGCCCTGCTGGATCAGACCAGTGGCCCACCTAGCCCAGCATCCGGTCTCCACACAGTGGCCAACCAGCTCCTCTGGACGGCCAACCACAGGGCGGAGAGGCCGGATGTCACGGGCTGGGCTGGGTTGAGAGGCGGGAGTCTGGTCTGAGGTTGTAGCCAGCAGATTCAGAACAGGAGCCGGGCATCGAGACCGAGAGAGGGGTCGTCTGACTCTGGAGCAGGGGCCAGGAAGCCAGGGAATCCGAAAAAGAACAAGGTCCGAGGACAGGAGCCAAGGGTGGATGCGAGGTCAGTGACTCATTGCTTCCACGGAGAGCCCGATCCCGAGTGGGAGCGATACAGGCTTCCGGCCATGCTTCCCGTGGCGGAGGCGCTGCTCCTGCTAGTGCTCAGGGCTTGACACTTGCCTTCCCTGCCAGCGTACGCCTCGGCGGCGGGTGGCTAAGTCCCTGCGGAACCACTCCCTCGACTGAGCCACCCGCGGGGGTGAGTCAGGCGGGCTCCCCGGTTGCACCTGTACCTCATCGGCCGCTGCGGGACCAGGTGCAGGGGTTACAGGCTCAGGCGCTAGAGGCAGCAGGCTGTCAACTCCCGAGGAGTCAGAAGGGCCAGCTTCTGGCTCTGGCGATTTATTTATTTATTTATTGTTTGTTTGTATTTATACCCCACCTTGCCTGACAAGCAGGCTCAAGGTGGCTAACATATTAAATAACATAACAAAAGTTAAAACAATTAATAAGTACAATATCAGTTAAAACAAGTAAACAACAACAATTACAGTACCAACTATGGCGGTAATCCAATCAATCCCTAGCTAGGGGTAGTATCCAGCGGGAACTCTAGCCAGGAGGTGGTCTAAGTTCAGCCAGAAGATGTTTCAGGGCACACCCCTCAACGGCGGCCCCTAATCGAACGCCTAGCAGAAGATCTCCGTTTTACAGGCCCTGCGGAACTGTGAGAGGTCCCGCAGGGCCCTGATGTTCTCTGGGAGCTTATTCCACCAGTGTGGGGCCGCCACCGAGAAAGCCCTGGTTCTGGTAATATTTAGTCTGGCTTCTTTCAGACTGTGCTGCCAACTCGGGCGGGAGCCTGGCATGGTCGCTGCCGCCCATGACACCGAGGCCTTAATAAGAACATCAGAAGAGCCCTGCTGGATCAGACCAGTGGCCCACCTCGTCCAGCATCCTGTCTCACATAGTGGCCAACCAGGTCCTCTGGAGGGCCAACAACAGGGCACAGAGGCCAAGGTCTCCCCCTGATGTTGCCTCCTGGCTCTGGGATTCAGAGCTTCACTGCCTCTGCACATGGAGGTTCCCTTTAGCCACCTTGGCTAGTAGCCACTGACTGACCACTCCTCCACGAACCTGTCCAATCCCCTTCTAAAGCCGTCGATGCCTGTGGTGGCTTTTCAAACAGAAGCTTCACAGTCCAGTTAGACAGCTGTTTGTGGAGAACCCTGGTTCAAATCTGAACCCTACTGTGAAAATAGGATGTGACCATCGCCTTCTACAGTGTGTGTGTGGGGTAATCACCCCTGACCTACCTTACAAGGGTGTTGTAACCAATGTTCCCGCTAAGCTGTAGAGTCTTGTGAGCAAAAATTGTACTTTGTGAGCTACCGGCATTAAAGTTGTGAGCGAGCAATTTGGCTACTGCATACATTAGTCTGCCCTGGAGCCATCCTTCCTGAGCGAAGACAAAAATGTGTGAGCCGGAGGCTAAAAAACTGTGAGCTAGCTCACACTAACTCAGCTTAGCGGGAACACTGGTTGTAACAACTGCATTATCATGTATACAAAGTGCTACATGAATGCAAAGTACGATTTATTATTACTGTCGGAGCAAAATGAAGGAAAGGCTTAACAATTCGGCTGAGGAAGTGAAGGAGGCCCAGAAGATGAATTAGTCTTCTGCTGGGGGCCATGACGTGCAACAGGGTGCCCCCCCCCGACCTCCAGTGAGTTACTCTAGCAGCCCCACAGCAATCTTTTAAATTGTTCTAGAGAGAAGACAAAACTGAGAGAGAGGGGTGGAAATGGAGGAAGGCAGTGAGGTCTACGGAGGTATGAAAAAGATAGTTCGGCAGATGTCAAGAGGCCCCTTGCCTTTGGGTCTTCAAGCTTAGGGGAAGCCCTTGGGGGAAAATGACAGGAGCCAGGGCTATCTTTGGGCAGGAACGCACAGGAACGGAGTTCCAGCTGGCTTCAGAGTTGGCCACGCCCACTACAGCCCAAACCTCTACGTGCCTGGCTACAGAGGGAAGGCCTGGAGAGCAACCCCCCCCCCCGGCGACTCTGAGGTGGGCAGGCCAGGGGTCCCCCTGGAAGAATCGGGGAGGCATTTAAATGCCCCCCGATGTATTAAACTGCCTTCCCTTCAAGGGGGGGCTTGCCCAGGCTCCTCGCAGCTGCGGGGCGTCCAGCCAAGCCAAAGGAAGGCATGGGGTGTGGCCTAATATGCTAATGTGCTGCGGCGTCAGGGGTGTGGCCTAAAATGCTAATTAGTTTCTGCTGTTGGGTGTGGCCTACTATGCTAATGAGCTCCTGCTGGGCTTTTTCTACAAAAAAGCCCTGAGCAGGATTCTTTCTTCAGCCCACGGGAGGCGTCCCACATTGATGCAGAAGGGTGCGGTGAGGAACACTGTCCGCTCCCCCCCAGCATTCCTGGGCCTACGCTAACCTTGGGGTAGGGGGATATCTCTGCCAGTTCTGGCCAGGCTTCACAGCCGCCGGACCCCTTCCCAGCCAACGTCTGCAAACCTGCTTCAGTCCCCGTTTTCAAATCCCCGTTAACAATAGTGGGCATCCGTGCAGTGATAACGCTGTGGGGAAGTACGCCACGGAAGGATGGGAGAATTCGCCAGGGAGACGAGGAAGCAGGGAGGGAGCGCGGAGGCCCAGATCCGCTCAGCAGAGCTGGGTGCTCACGATGCTGTATCTAAACCAGCCCCGGGTATGTCTGTGTTGGGGGGGGCAGTACTGAGAAAACCCAAGTTTAAAAGACGGTCAACGTGGGAAGGCAAGAAGAGCGATCCACCTTGCCTGCCTTTGGGGTGGGGGGCAAAGAAGCAAGGTGTGGGGCTGGAGTTGTGATGCCTCCTCTCGCTTCTAAAAAGACACCCGGCAACAAAACAAAAGGGTTTTGTTTTTAATAACTTTTGGCCCGGCAAATCCGAACCCCCCGCACGCGGAGTCCCCCCGGGGAGTCTTCCCCAGCCTGCCCCCCTCCCCACCAGTAGAAAGTGCACAGATCAAACGCATTCCCTTTGTAGGCAGGTGAACATCCACGCACCCAGACACGGCCGCATATATATTTTATGCGTCTAAAGATAAAAAATACATTTTACAGGTGTTTTTGGCTTCTCTTGCCGGCTGCCGGCTTCTCAGAGAAGGCCAAAAAACACACGCGCCAAAGGGATATTTATAATGGACATCAGTGAAGGCAGGAGGAAGAAAATAACGTTACAAGGAAGTTCACAGGACGGCGTATTTTCTCCACCGGCTCTTCGGGGTTTGCTCTTGGAGCTCCGGGTTCAGTCAGGAAAGGATGGGGAAGTTTAACTGAATGTGATGACTTCTCATCACTTTGCTTTCAGTTCTTACAGACTGAATCTTTGTGATATGTTGGGATAGGGACCCAAATAAACAACTTTTTTTTTAAGTGGACAGTTCAATTTCCCTTCCGCCACAAGCCACACAAATTGCGTCCGTTTCAACTGTGCACTGCACCAGGAGACACACTGAAATCTACTCAAAGGGGACAGTTTCGAAGTCAAACAACGACTGGCACATGATCAGGAAAATATCTGATTAAAGTCCAGTACACAGCAACAGCCCTGCCTGCTCATATCAAGGTAAAGTAAAGGTAAAGGTTCCCTTGCTCGAAAGCCAGTCGAATCCGACTCTAGGGTTGCGGTGCTCATCTCCGTTTCAAAGCCGAAGAGCCAGCGCTGTCCGAAGACGTTTCCGTGGTCATGTGGCCAGTTTGACTAAACACCAAGGCGCACGGAACGCTGTTACCTTCCCACCGAAGTGGTACCTATTTATCTACTTGCAATTTCTTGCTTTCAAACTGCTAGGTTGGCAGGAGCTGGAACTAGAGACGGGAGCTCACTCCATCATGCGGCACCTGAGTCTCGAACTGCTGAACTACCGACCTCCCACAGCCTGCAGTTCAGCGTCTTAACCACTTGAGCCACCGCAGCTCCGCTCATATCATATCAAAGGCCCATCTAAATTTCCCACAATGGCCAACTGCCAGGTGCCCCCAGGAAGCCCGCGAGCCGAGCATGAGAGCCAGCGTGGCCTAGTGGTTAAAGGTTTGGACTAGGATCTGGGAGACCCAAGTTCGAATCCCCACTTGTCCGTGGAAGCTCGCTGGGTGACCTTGGGTCAGTCACACGCTCTCACAGGGTTGCCGTTATGAGGATAAAATGGAGGTGAGGAGAATTATGTCAGCTGCTTTGGGTCCCCCTCAGGGTAGAAAGGTGGAGTATAAGTAAATGTCCTGCTTCTGGCTAGCTGTACTGTGAGCCAACTGATCTACCAGCAGAGAAAGAGGAAGGACAAAACCGTGCCTTGTTGTGCCTGGATAAGAAAGCGACGGGAGCAAAGTGGGGGAGAGGAGGGGAAGAGAGCTCCCTCCCAACAGGACTCACCTTATTTCCCCCTCGGTCTCCCACGAAACGGTTATCTTTCATTAGGTAGGACAGGATGGCCTCCATCTTCAGTTCCGAAACGCTGAAAGGACCAAAACATGAGGAAAGGTTAAGGCGCTTAGGGCTCTTTAGCTTGGAGAAACGACGACTGAGGGGTGACATGATTGAGGTTTATAAGATTATGCATGGGAAAGAGCAGGTAGAGAAAGAGCTACTTTTCTCCCTCTCTCACAATACAAGAACTCGTGGGCACTCCATGAAATTGCTGAGCAGTCGGGCTAGAATGGATAAAAGGAAGTACTTCTTCACCCAAAGAGTGATTAACACATGGAACTCACTGCCACAGGAAGTGGTGGCGGCTACAAGTATGGACGGCTTCAAAAGGGAATTAGATAAGCATAGGGAGCAGAGGTCCATCAGTGGCTATTAGCCACAAGGTATAGCTAGGGGCTCTGGGGCAAGGGATGCTCTGTCTTCTTGGTGCTTGGGGGGGTCAACAGTGGGAGGGCTTCTAATGTCCTGGCCCCACTGCTGGACCTCCTGATGGCACCTGGTATTTCTGGCCACTGTGTGACACAGAGTGTTGGACTGGATGGGCCTTTGGCCTGATCCAACATTGGCATCTCTTATGTTCTTAACATTGAAGGGGAGAAAAATAACTGTTTATGATTCTGCAATTTACAGTATACAAATAAGTGACACATACTGTTATCGTTATAATTCCCAGGGCAGTCAAAGGTCTTTATGATGCCCACTGTCGGCCAGTTTAACCACATCCTTTAGTGTCAGTAGAACTCCCCCCTTCCCCCCATATATTCATCACCAGTCTCTCGAGTCCGGAAACAGTCACCACATTCGTCTTTCTTAGGAGCGTAGAAAGGCCTCAGCCTCTCCCTTGCTCAGTGGTTGTTACTTTGTCCTGCACACAACCAACACAGGAAGCTGCCGTATACCCAATCTTTTGGCCATCTCAGGGCCGGCAGGGCTTGGCGGCTGGGGAGGCTCACAGCCTGGCAGAGGGCCCACTTCTGATTCCTGGCCCCTCCCACCCCTACCAGGAATCAGGAGCCAGCCCCAGAGGCTTCTGGGATGCGCTTCCATTTTCCGAGGGTCCCCTTATTTCCCAGGCAGTAGATGGAGTAGAACAGCGATTCTCTCAGGCTCCTTTTAGTCCTTAACTGACTGGGTGCGTGCAGGCAGATGTAGTGGAGGAGGGAGGATAAATTGAAGGCAGCTTGTGGGGTCAGGGGTGGTACTGAAGAACATCTTGTCTAGAGCCCCCCCCCCCAATCTGGGAGAACCGGGTTTGATTCCCCACTCCTCCACTTGCACCTGCTGGATGACCTTGGGCAAGCCATAGTTCTGGCAGAGCTGTTCTTGAAAAAGCCGTTTCTGTCAGAGCTCTCTCAGCCCCACCTGCCTCACAGGGTGTCTGCTGTGGGGAGGGGAAGGGAAAGGAGTTTGTAAGCAGCTCAGAGACACCTTTGGGTAGTGAAGGGCGGGGTATAAATCCAATCTCCTCTTCTTCATCAACTGTCCCAGGCCTTTATGTGGGGCACTCATACAAGCCAACAGGAGAGGAGGTTGGAGAGCTCCCCCTAATCTGGGAGAACTGGGTTTGATTCCCCACTCCTCCACTCACAGCTGCTGGATGACCTTGGGCAAGCCATAGTTCTGGCGCAGCTGTTCTTAAAAAAGAGCTGTTTCTGTCAGAGCTCTCCCAGCCCCACCCACCTCACAGGGTGTCTGCTGTGGGGAGGGGAAGGGAAAGGAGTTTGTAAGCCGCTCTGAGACATCTTTGGGTAGTGAAGGGCGGGGTATAAATCCAATCTCTTCTTCTTCTTTTACCTCACAGGGTGTCTGTTGTGGGGAGGGGAAGGGAAAGGAGTTTGTAAGCCGCTCTGAGACACCTTTTACCTCACAGGGTGTCTGTGGTGGGGAGGGGAAGGGAAAGGAGTTTGTAAGCCGCTCTGAGACATCTTTGGGTAGTGAAGGGCGGGGTATAAATCCAATCTCTTCTTCTTCTTTTACCTCACAGGGTGTCTGTTGTGGGGAGGGGAAGGGAAAGGAGTTTGTAAGCCGCTCTGAGACACCTTTTACCTCACAGGGTGTCTGTGGTGGGGAGGGGAAGGGAAAGGAGTTTGTAAGCCGCTCTGAGACACCTTTGGGTAGTGAAGGGCGGGGTAGAAATCCAATCTCTTCTTCTTCATCAACTGTCCCAGGTCTTTATGTGGGGCTCTCATACAAGCCAACGGGAGAGGAGGTTGGAGAGCTCAGTCAGGGCTGTACCGCTTTGGACTGTCTGCTAAACGTTTATGAAAATCTGTTGAATCTATCTAGTGCACTGTCACCATCCCGCCTTTCTGCCCAGGAGCTCAGGACAACATACACTGATCCTCCTCTTCTCATTTAATCCTCACAGCAACCCTGTAAGGTGGGCTGGGATAAGAGCGAGAGGGACTGGCCAAAGGACGGCCAGCAAAGAAGTGGGGATTGGAACCCAGGCCCCCCTGATGGTAGTTGGGCACCCTAACTGCTGCACCACACCTGCTCTCAAACGCCTACCAAAAGCGGAGGCATTCCCTGCATGCTTAAAGTTAGCGTATCGAGAAGAACCCTATGAAATTCTTACCCCTCTCCTGAGACCAAGCTTTTCTAAGTGCACAGAGAACTTTTATGCCTAAAATAACTGTAGTGCTTGACAACGCTCCCTCTAAGCTGTGGAGACTTGTGAGCAAAAATCCTACGTTGTGAGCTACTGGCATTAGAGCTGTGAGAAAGCGATTTGGCTACTGCATAAATAAGTTTGCTCTGGAGCCCTCCTTCCTGAGCTGAGACAAAATTGTGTGAGCTGGAGGCTAAAAAAAGACAGGTTGCTTACCTGTAACTGGTGATCTTCGAGTGGTCATCTGTGCATTCACACCCTTGGGATACACTGCGCCTGCGCTGAACCTTCTCGGTACCGATAGCTAGCAAAAAGGGATTTTCGCGCCTCTCCCAGGTCACGCGCCGGCTCCACTGCGCATGACCAAGTAGGGGCACGCAGATCCCGCCAGTTCCTTCTGACCGCCGCCCAACAGCCTTCAAAGAAACAAGATGAAGGGCCGAGAGCAGAGGGGAAGGAGGGCGGGTGGTGTGAATGCACAGATGACCACTCGAAGATCACCAGTTACAGGTAAGCAACCTGTCTATCTTCTTCGTGGTCTCTGTGCATCACACCCTTGGGAGAATAGCAAGCAATAACTCTTACCTGGAGGAGGGGCCGAGGCCCTACACCTGCGCCGTCTGCAAGATAGACCGACCCAACGCCACACGACGAGAAGACCGGACATCAAGGGCATAATGCTTCACGAAGGTGAGCGGAGTAGCCCAAGTCGCAGCGTTGCAGATGTCCTCCAATGGCATCCCTCTCAGGAAAGCTGTGGAAGCCGCCACCGCCCTTGTAGAGTGGGCGCGAAGTTGACCTGGAAGAGGTCTCTTAGCCAAAGCGTAACATAGCTTGATTACTTCCACAATCCACCTGGACAGCGTCTGGGAAGAGATCTTCTTCCCTAGGGAGGGCATACTGTGAGCAACAAACAAGGCTGGAGACTGACGAAAAGACTTGGTCCTGCCCAAATAGAACAGCAACGCCCTCTTAACATCCAGAGAGTGCAATTTCCGTTCCTCTTCATTGGCAGGAGACGGGAAAAATGACGGCAAAACTATATCTGAACGTAGATGAAACTCCGAAACGACTTTCGGTAAGAAGGAGATGTCCAAAGACAACGACACCCCATGAGGGGAAAAAATCAAGTATGGTGGATCACACCTTAAAGCAGACAACTCACTGACTCGACGAGCAGAAGTAATGGCCACCAGAAACGCAGTCTTGAGCGATAACAACTTTAGAGAGCAAGTGGCCAGTGGTTCGAAGGGTTTTCCCATCAAAAACCGCAAAACTAAAGCCAAATCCCAGGCCGGAGTCGGAGAACGACGGGGAGGGTACAGGCGAATAAGACCTTTACAAAACTGTTTCGTCTGAGGATGCGAGAAAACTGAAAACCCATCAATAGATGGATGAAAAGCTGACACCGCAGCTAAATACACCTTAACTGAAGAAAAACTGAGTCCCAAGTCCATTCTGGACAAAATAAACGCAAAAATAGACCTCAAATCCACTGGCGGAGGAGGTAAATTGGAAGAACTCAAGTACTGTAGGAATAAATCCCACTTCTTTGCGTAAGACGTCCTAGTAGACAGTTTACGACAATTCAACAGGACCTCATTGATACGGTCATCCATCACTGAAAGCGTATTTCCCATAGAGTCAACTTGAGACTCAGAGGATCGTAGTGAAGGACCTGGCCTTCCTGAGCTTGGAGGAGATCCAACTCCTGCGGGAAGTGTACGAAGGATCCCTTGGCTAACCGCAGCAGTGTCGGAAACCACACCTGCCGAGGCCACCAGGGGGCTACCAGGAGACAATGGGGCTTGTCCTGTTGTATTTTCACAAGCACCCTGTGGAGCAGCGGAATCGGAGGAAATAGGTATAGAAAGTCGTGAGCCCACGACATCAACAGACCGTCCCCCATTGACAGAGGGTCCAACCCCGCTCTGGAGCAAAACCTGGGACACTTCTTGTTCAATCGAGTTGCAAAAACATCGATGTGGGGATGTCCCAGATGTTGAAAAAGAGGAAGGAGATACTTTGAGTTCAACTCCCATTCGTGGTCCGATGCTCCCCCTCTGCTCAGGAAATCCGCTTGTTGGTTCAAAGTTCCTGGCAGATGGGCAGCTTGGAGAGTGATGTTCCAATGAAGGCACTCTTCCCATATGTCCATAGCTAGCCTGCAAAGGGACCTGGACACGGTCCCGCCCTGGCGATTGATATAAGCCATCGCAGTTGTGTTGTCCGTAAAAATCAACACAGCTTTTCCTACAACCTGTCTGAGTAAGGATCTGAGGGCAAATTTTACGGCCAGCAGTTCCAGATAGTTGATATGATGACTCTTCCAAAGGGGTTGCCATGGAGCACCCACACAAGTGTCGTCTGTATGAGCACCCCAACCCCACAGGGAGGCATCTGTGGTGATGGACATT